CTCCCTTTTTGCCTTTTTCTCTCCTTCATCGCTTTCCTCGTCTTCCCTCTGCCTTTACCTGTACCGTCCTGTTCGTACTTCTTTCTTTCTTTCTAACCTCTTCATCCTTCTCTGGTGTACGTTTACTCGTTCGTTCTTCCGTTTTCTTTTCTCTTTTGTCTTCTCTTTCGTTCTTTCTGTCCACTTTGAGCGGCCTCCCGCTTCGACTCCGACAGCGGTCCACCTTATTTGACCCTTTCCCCCTATACGCATCCAAAGGACTCTCCGATTCCTCTTTTATTTTATCCTCTTACTTTACTTACTCTCAGTTTCTTTCTTTCCTCTTCAGCATTTCTTCGTCTCTTTCTTTTTATCCGCTTCTCCTGGCCCTTTCTCTTCTTTTTCACATCTTAGATTGCTCTGTCGGCAATCGCGGCTTGCTACTTGGAATTGTCCGAAAAACAGATTACAACAGGAAGAAAGAACGAGTGGGAAGGGAGAAGAAACGATGAGCAACATTTTTCATTCCTCTTCGTTTCTTTGTTTCATTTTTTTTTTTAATTTTTTTTTTGGCTCTTGTTATCTTTGATTTTATTATGACATAATGTTTGTATATCGAAATTTATCGGATTTTCTATATATCCTTTTACACATTCTTTGAGCTATCTCTTTTGCAAAATTTTTCATACTCCATCGATAACATTCTTAACATCGACGAAAAAAGATATACATATTTAATATTTTATTTCGATCATTTTTTATGCAAATTTGGCATATTTATACATTTTAGAGATACATTTTTTGAAAGATATTAGCGTAGTTTAATAAGATACTGACAAATTGAAATGATTTGCCGGAAACCAGAAATGTAAAGAAATCTCAGTACGGCACTGGGCAATCCGAAGCTTCTCAAACGAGAAAAGCACACACGACGCCCATTCAGCTAACCCTTTCAGGCTCTCTCTCACCCTTCCGGTACCTGTAAGTTTTCTACCAACCCACCCATCACGTCATCCTCCTCATGCGTCACCTTCCTCCTTCTTGCACCTTTAGGTCTCTAGCTGTGCTTCGACCTCCGGTAAAAATCTCTTTTACGCGCCCAACCGAGGAACTCTGTCTCAGACGATTCTATGCTTTTCTTACGACCACCATTTAAATTTCCACATGGCTTTACAGAGTATAATTCGAATTTTTTATCTTTCTCAACATTTTCGTTCACCCTTCTTTTCGTCGACCTTCGTTTTTTCTACGCAGCAGTTACGAAACTTTCGTTAACACGACCGCGAAAAAATTTTTGATTCTTTCTCTCTTTCTTTTTTGTCTTTCTTTAAAGAAATTTTAAACTCTTGGAAAAGTTGAGTTTGAAGAAATAAAATGGATCGAAAACATATCGGCTTTATACATTTTCCACAACTATGAGACTATAAATCTAAATATTATACGAATTACACAGAATTACATTTCACTTTTTTTTCTTTTATTAAACTATTTTTAAATAAATTCAAAAAGAAAAGTAAATGTATATTTATGAATCGTATACTTATAATTAAAAATGAAATATATTAGAAATCATTTTTGTTTCATTAACTCTTTTATCTCTTATTTAACAAATACAAAAATTTGTTTATAATTATTCTATAGTTATAAAATATATTTAATTACAACAGATATGAATATTTTTTAACTGTAAATTATAATGAAAATCTAAGAAACAAGAAAACAAATATCTTATTATGTTTATTTTCTAAAATCATTAACAGAATTTTTGTTATAAATAACAAGTAGAGTAAAGTATATCGAACGGAGAATCTTATCACTTTAGCCCTTCGATTGATTCATGAATTTGTTGCTTTCGTAAATTAAAAAAAAACAGAAATTAATTTGGAAAATTGTCATTACGACTAAATAAAACTTTCATTAAAAATATCAAAACATTTTGAAATCCATGCATTTATTGTGTGTTTCGAACAAGCTAAAAATCAAAGAAAAAATTCATATTCAAAGAGAAAATTTTTTGGCGGGAAATATTTTATTTTTTAAATGAAAATTTTTATTTTTTAAATAGTTGAAATAATAATAAAATGATTAAATGGAAATAAAAAAAATTATTTTAAAGTGTGTATATATATGTATAATATTAAAATATTTTACAGAAAAATAATATTTTTAAAAGAGTTTACCTATTAATCTATTTATTACATTTATGACTGATATTGACATGCAAAAATCAAACGTCAATAAGATTGGTATATTAGAGTTGCTCAATAATTAACATTTAGTAAAGAAGTGAAATCTCCTTATCAACAGTATTTCAAATAAATCTTTATAATAATCCGAAAAGAAACATTGATCAGTTTTTATCTCGTTCATTTCTTGAATTCTTTTAAAGCTAAAAAAAAAACATATACTATATTATATTATTCATATAATTCAAGCCTAAATTACATAACGTTCCAAAAGTAAATGACAAAATATATTATAACTATACCATATATACTCTTTTAAAGGTGTTAGAAATTATGTATCTAAGTATCGAGTGTCCATCATCACGATTATGGATTATCAATTAAATAATAAAAGCAATGTTATCAATGTCGAAACGGAAATGATCCCGATCAGGCCATAAACATGGCTTCTAAAGTCTTTTGAAGTACCGACAAGGATTTGTTAGTGAAAGACCGAGCGGAAACGGTCAAAGGCGTGTCACCGTTATCGCCAGATGACTTTATGTAGTGGTATTATGCCTCGCGAGCTGCGAATCTTTCAAAGAAACTTCTAAGGGACCGCTCGGCCGGCAGCTACATCGACCGTCGGTCGTCGACCGTCACGATCGCTGCGACTGTCGACCGCCGA